CTTTAATGGTGATATACATGTATATAGATAGACTAAATTTTTAAGTAGACAAAAAAGAATATAGATAGCAAATCTTTGAAGTACATCTGGGTATAATTTGATGATCTACAAGCTGTTAGTAATGCACCAATATAATAATGCCATTCAATGACAAGGGGAACATTATCAAAATGTATCTCTACACCTCTCATACAGGTGTGAATGAGATTATGAATTCACACAAAACTTTAAAAGTAACACTGACTTAATTCAATCGTCAGAGAGTGGTTGATTTCATCGGTCAATTTGCGACATGTCGTCTGTATGTCCCTAGCCTGGGTACCATCCTACTTGTATGCCGCTCCCACACTCGCTTCCCTAACAAGTAGTTAGGGAAGCGAGTGTGGGAGCCCCGGCATACAAGTAGGATGGTACCCAGGCTAGTATGGCCCTATGAAACAGTCTTAATGGTGATGGTACGGGACTACGGGATAAAAGTGGTGCAGCAAAGCAAGGTGCCAGAGTCATTTGTCGGAGTTTGTAAGGGTTTGGCTGTGGTCCTGTCCGCGTGTGTTAGGCAGGAGATCGTTTTCTGTGCGTTCCGATGCGTTCATGCAGGCAAACTCAAGCCTTGTTCATGTGAAGTCACCCAAACCGCGATTCGGGTAACTCGCATTCCTCACATCTGGTCCACGTGCCACACATTCCTTTGAAACCGTGCCCGATCACGATTCTCTGCAACTGCATTCATTGTTGTTTGATGAAAACACGCAAGGTAGCGTGTTATCAATGTCAGGGGTCAACGACCTGCTTGCTGATGCTCCCCTCCCAGCGTATCTCGGCCGAATGCCGACGTGATCCCGCCAGAGGCGGTGAAGCTCGCCCTAGAACGGACACATTATTTGACCATTACTACTCTTTAAGTTGCTGCCACGTAAAATTTGGTATTGCAAAAAATAAAGAAATATCACCCCGTAATGCATGACTGGTGAAGTCACATTGAAATCACATGCGGGAAAACCGATTTGAAACCACCTCTAGAAGTGGTTTGGGATCGAGGCGCTTTCAATGTAATTTGGAGCGTTCAGATGGAGCCACTTGAAACCGGCTTCGGGGTAAACCACATCTAAAGCGCCTTCACTGACTTCACATGAACACGGCCTTAGTGCAGAGGATCGCACTGCCCAGGCGTCACTGCCGTGAGATGGCAACACGCCGTGAACGTGGCCGACATCTCTCAGGAGCCTGAAAGCAGAACTTCAGGCGACAGGCCGGCTGCCTCCCTTCAACGCCCGGGCCGTCCCGTCAGGAACGCCGGCCTCACGACTAACGCGTCGGGAGGCGGACGGCCGGGTCTCTGTAATCTCCAAGCAGATCCTAGGGTGGCAATAGGCAGTAAAGAATAATCCATTCGCCATAGAGGGTCTATACGCCACCTATAATAATTTAGGCCACACCGACTTAATTTTATGGATGACATCCGCGCACGCATTGATTTTCGCCTGTCCTCAAAAAAGAAAGAAAAAAAAAAGATCACATCCTCCGAGGCTTTGGCCGGCTCTAGGCCTGGGTAGTCCATGCTAGTTAATAGCGACAATACAGAGCCGGTGCCAACTCTGTAGGATGGCACCCAGGCTACCGAAGCTCCAGAGCTCAAGAACTCAGTACATACTCAGAGTGCCGATCCATAAACTCCACAAAAAGTTCGCTATATACTGACGCAAATTCACAACACCAGCTTTGCATTCCTGTGGTTTAGTAGCATTTTTATTTTTGGCCAGAATTTTTTTTATTCGCCCGCGCGCAGTAGTTTGGGTGTCTTCAGCAGATGTCATCCATAAAATTAAGACGGTGTGGCCTTATACTTTCCAGTTCAGTGATTTTTGATAGCGTACTGTACTACACTACGGTACTGTAAACCTGCAAAACATTGACATTAACTGAAGCAAAGGCAAACAATTGGGAAAAGCTTCAAATAAGTCTCATACGTTTTACCCCCAAAGAACCCACAGAAGGACGGCAAACCATGTTAAACAATAAGAAGTAAACAACATCCCAAACTAACAGGTTGTATGTTTGTTGGCACGGAAGATAGCAGGATGGTAGAAGTACACCAAAGTTTCCGAATTTTAGGGTTAATCTGAACCAACGTTCAGCACAGATAGAAAAGATTTTGGCAGCAAGTTTTACCGTGATGAAGTCCCAGCCGGGACCTTCTGCGGGGATGTGGAGCCCCCTAGCGGGCAGCACCTGTGACGACAGGGACAGACATCTACTGAATCAGGGACATCGAGGCGGTTGTATTGACCGGTTGGCGCGTCACGTGGCCATAGCAGAAGGAGAGCCTGCGCTGACATCTGACCGGAAATGGAGGCAGCACGGTTATCTTAAGGTAAAGTATCTACTAGAACTTAAGGTCTCGTTGATGAGTTTTTCGTTACTTCGGCTTATGTATAAATGCAGGTCTTACATGACCGCGTTCCTAATGAACTTACAAGAAGTCAGTGGCAACAAAAACGTCGTACGTAATGGGATCAGTGAAAATTCCGTGCGAAGTTTATAGGGCGGTATACGTACGCGGAGCTAGATTTCATGACTTTTCTCAATACTCACTTCTTACAGGGCACTTAACAATGCAATGTTTTCCACATCTACAGGTGACGGCGCGGAACATTTTGGTGATGCTGGACTAGCAGACTCGGGGTGCATCCAGACACACTTGCAGGGTGGTACTACAGTCCGGTGTCAAGCCAGAGTTCTGCTTCTGACAAATAAATGCCCCCGACAGCCCGGTCAGTTTCAAGCCATCTACCATGATCCTGCCAAATACATGACTCCCGGAAGTACTTGGGTGCTGCCAATATGCCTGAGGCTAGGGGTGGGAGTGGTTCAGTCGTGATGTGGGAGACTAAACCTAACCTAACCCCAATCGTAAGTCTAACCCTATCCGTACGCGTGAACAATGATCCCAGCCCTAACTATATTATTTTATTCCTCTAATACCAAACCTAACCCTTATCCTGACCCTAAACACCTGACCTCTCACGTATGTAGAAGCTTAAGTATTTAACTCAACACCGATGTCCAGTCTATCGTGGTTGGGACAGGCTCTTTTGTAGTTTTACCCGCCGCCCTGCTCAACTGACCGCGCGGTTTTTAGAAGGGTTCCTGTATGTGAAGGAATTTGTAAATATTGTAATGCAAAGGTTGTGGAAGACGAAATACACTTTATCTCAAATTGTTCGTTTTATAGCAACGCTCGAAATGAGTTAACTATTCAAACTTCTACAATTCATCCCAATTTTACTAAACTTGCAGACAAAGAAAAAAACTATTTTTCTGTTAACTTCCCAAACCCCACATAGTTTAGAAAAGGTGGGACATTAGTCTCCCATGGTTTACAAACACCGGTGTTACAAAAGAGAAGTCAAACCCTTCAGACATAGCTATAGTTTTAGTCAACTACTTTTCATCATGTAGATACTATTGTATAATAATATAATCTGTTTCAATACTGTTGTATGTTTATGATTTGCAATTAGCCTCCGGGCACGAATTTGCAATAAAACTTCTTCGTATTTATTTGATGGACCCAATACTATACTCTCTAGTATATATCTGAGATAAAGGTTGGGAGGGGGTTGTCCGCGATGCGGAACAACACAGATAAACAACACACATAAAACGAGATGACAAGAAAGTTAACCATCAGCAAAATTAATTTATTTCCTAGCTTGAATTGATGCTATGTACAAATTGAACTCACACCACGTAGTTAAAGTTATTGGGAGAATGCCAACGTTGTCTAAAGTGTGTAACTGAATAACACATTTAATTATAGAAAGAACGAATTCATTTCCCTCCTCTCAATTAGTATATTAGCTTTACATCAACTACAAATATGCACTACAGACAATATGCATTACCAACAGGAAACGAAAGTATACAATATAATGACATATGATTATATACGTTGTACAATGTTGCTTAAATATACACTTACAAGCAATACGATACATCTCAAAGTGTAAGAAAAAAAAGGTATATTTCATACACATAACAAAAATATGTGGGGACATTTTGCACAACGCGTTAGGATAGTTAGTTTTGAAATTTTTAAATGGCTCTGATATTTTCAAGGCCTTGAGGAACAGTCCTTGATCTGACCCGCCACCGTTCTGTGGGCCGTGCGCTCGCCAGACACGCGGCTGTAACAGTTAGGCCATGTTGATTTTGATTATATGGATGACATCCTCCGGGAACCCCAAAATTGATGCGCGCGTGCGAAAAAAAAAGTTTTGTCAAAAAAAAAAGTGTTTTCATTATGAAATCTACGTGGTCATGAGGGTTGAACAAATGGGGCGGGATATGGTTTGGCGAATAATCTAGTCTTCAAGTTCATTTCTTTACAATTTCGTCTTTTTTCGTTTGATTTTGGCATTCTACGACATTGGTATGGTTTTTGTAACTTACGGTATATTTTTGCTCATTTTGCAACTGTTTTGTACGATTTACAGTATGGTTGAAAACTTTTTTTTGAAACGGCCGAAAATTCATGCGCGCGTGGATGTCATCCATATAATCAAATCAACATGGCCTTACACTGCAGCGATCTCAGTCCGCGCCCTCGCGTTCTCTCACATTGGCGGACCTCGTCTCTGCCCGGCCGTACTGAGAACACACCTTGGCCACCCCGTATGGTTCAACCGTCTCGTTTTCATGAGAATCATGTATCGTCGAGTAATACGGATCGGCTATTGTGTCACTCACGGAGTTGTCTCTCTGATTTTCAGAGACACTGGCGTCATTATTTCGCTGCTGCTGCTGCCCACTCTCTTGTTCATTCATCGTTTCGTCCTCAGTAATGCTGTATCGTCTGCTCTGTAGATACATGCACGCTGCGAAAATGAACGCAAAAGGAACAGTACAAAGGAAACTAGCAATGAAATAGTTAGCATGTAAACGATTGTGGGTTTCCGATGGGAGCAAGATGACATAGTCGTCTACGTCGATACTGTTAGTATTGTTCAGTATCGATGTTGTTACGGGGGCATAGACCTCATATAGGCTAGTCGCGATTTCTTTACTTGTCTGGGCGTTGTCAACTTTTGCTTGAGATGTATTGTCTGATTGTACAACACTTGAATGATATGTCTGTGTAGCAGTAGCGTCATCTGGGGGTGTGGGAGGGTAGGACAGAGACATAAGGCCAGGTGATGCAGTTTTAGCTTGACTCTTTGATTTGTTGGAAATGAGGATCACGGAGAGTTGCCTGCGAGCTACCACGTCACTAGAGATGGACTTGACACCACAACGGATAGATGTACCGTTCCACTTATGAAGCAGTCGTTCGTGCAAAACTAATACAGACACCGTCCTGACAGCATAATTCGGTGCTGTATGATTATGTAAGCAATGTGTAGTTATACGGGACGGCGTCTCCCATGTCCACCCACAAGCACTTATGTCGTGTTGGAATGAAATGTTGAAGTGCTGAGAAGTCAGGTTGGCATTTCTGTCATCCTCACCTAAACCCGGCAACACAATAGTAGTGTTATCTGGTAGGACCCAGAAGATACTGCTCTCTTCCTCCCAAGTCACCTGGCACCGAATATGTAAATCGTGATCATCAATGTCCTGCGTAATCCTCACCACTGGCGAGGGGCATGGCAAGTGGGCAATGGAAAATATGTCTTCGCCTTCCATGCTTAGTGGGTACTTGCAGAAGAAAGCCTTAGGGATTATCTCAAACTTCATGTTACCCCTAGCCCTCCTAACGAACCAACGATTGGCGCAGGTACAACGTAAGGTATTTTGACTATACAACAGTAAACCTCTGTATCTGTAACATGGACTTGATAGCCTAGGTAGCCAAGATTCCCACAGAAACGCCAACTCGTTACCCCTTACATGCAAAGTGTTCAGACCTTCAATATTCGAAAACGCACCAGCTTCAATTGTCGTAATCATGTTCTCTTCGACAGATAACCAGGAAACCTTAGTTATCCTGAAGAAGAAACGACTTTTGACACTCTTCAGCTTGTTACCTTTGAGATCAAGAACAACGAAGCCCATATTTTCGAACGCACCTTTCTCGATATCTTGGATTTTGTTGAAACTCAGGTCCAGAGTTGTTATTCTTCGCAACCCCGTAAAATAATGTTTCCCCAAGTGGGATAACCTATTGTGAGAGAGGTTGAGTTCAGACAGATTCCTCATGTTGCGAAAAGCTCCAGGATAAATTGATGAAATCATGTTCTTAGCAAGAGTTAGATGCTCGATATGGATAAGTCTATCGAACCAGTCATGTCCTAAAGCCACTATCGCTGTCTGTGTGACTGTAAGCTTCTGTAAGCTTGGAAACCTCGACAGGCCTCCGACTAACAGTCCATTTAAGCCTGCTCCTTCTATACCCAGAGAGCGAATTTGAGGGTATTTTACATTGGACCAACTTGGAAACTGGGTAAATGTTATTCCAGTCAGTTTGAGAGACACTAGATTGGACGGAAGGTGACACCAAAGGGCGCGTAGATCCCGAAGATGGGGCGCGTGGCAGACCAGACACACGCCGCCATCTTTGTTTTGTCCCCCAAGGTCATTTGGACACTTTGGATCAGCTGTACAGTTGATTGGTTCTACTGCTTCACAGACGGTTGAATTATGAAAAGGAAGAGAGAGGAGTCCTTTGGGAAATGTCAGACATATTGATACAAACATCACAAATCTGGTGGCCCGTGAAAATGAACCCATGGTTCAAAAGACGATATGAATGATGCAGTCACTTACAACTGTTTTGAAATTTGTTTTTTGTCACCTTCGTCGAAAATACGTTACATATGTGTTTTGCTTATCACAACTGTTCTGCCGGTTGATTTAGATCTTATGATAAATCCTATGTGCTGATGTATATGATATGATATGATGTATGATTTTAGTTGCGTGGTGCTGAAGCAATATTTGTCCTGAAAAAAGGAATAAGAATTTGTTTGTTTGCAAATATTAAATGACACAATCCACGAAATAAATATCACATGATAAACAGAGAAAATGTGCTGGGTGGAAAATAAATCATCTGTCCCAATTAAGAAACTGGTTTTATACATGATAATAATAATAATAATAAAGATACTAATAAAGAAACAGGATAATGTTAACGTAATAACTGATTACTAATGAAATAATGATTGTGGTCTTAACCCAGTTATAACTTATAAGAATAAAGAGAAAAAGGCAACATTGAACAAAAACTTGCAACATATGTAGTAATATCAAAATAAGTAAAATAATTTCCAATTACATAACGAATTGTTAGTTTTATATTAAGTTACACACTAAATGAAAGAAAGAAATATTCTACAATCTACAATAAACCGAAAAACTCTTATATGTAGAGCTACATGTAAAGGTCTTTAGCAACACGTTAGTGCACATACAGTTTTTCGTGCGTACTGTAAACAAACCATTCTAACTCCTCTGGCCCTTGATAAAATGATGGGAGGGGGGTTGTATGTTGACATACTCCATGCCGTATCTGATAGCCGCATCTGATTTTGCGTTGAATCGCCCCTACAATTAATCGTGTCTAGACTATGAACCATGTTGTACCTGCCAAAAAATGAAGGGGTTTCTACTGGTGTTCAAAGTTGCTATTTTCCATCTTGAAAAATCTGCTCAACCGGAGTAACAATCAGCGTGCTTGTACCAAAACAATTACTGTGCATGCATTTAGCTACATGTTGTTACTGTATCTTCTTAATATTTTGAGTTTGATATGTTGCACATGGAACGTTCCATATCTCGTATCACTACAGAACGATGACAACAGCGTGTGTGTGGAGTCTACCGTACTTCACGGGGCATGCAGGCTGTCTTCGGGGCTCTAATAGTTTTCCCCGTCCAGGTCAACAGGCCGCCCGGTGGGAGTTTTACGCCTGTAGGAGAAATGCTAGTAGAGTTTTGTACGCAAGGAGTTGATAAGCAACACCACGATCGTGGTGGGGCTAAGTGAACTCCCGTCGTGCAAAACCTACCGGGGAACCTAGCTGAGTCGGGCGGGGGAAAGTTCCTGCGACCCCGAAGAGAACCTGCCATAACCGCGACTCTAGACTGGGCACCAGGCTATAGGCTGTGGGATGGATAACCATGCATTTTCATAATCTCCAAGCTGATCCCTCTCGGTGGCAAAAAGACAGTATCAAATTGGCCAGACAGTATCCATTAGCCAGAGAAGCTCCATTAGCCACCGACGTGGGGCTCAGGACAAAAAAAACGGCCATATATAAAAAGGTAACGATCATTCCTCACAATCTCTGCTTGGAGAGTAGCATTTTCATGGTTTTTAGCAAATATATCGTACCTTAGTCTAAGTGTAGTCACATGGATCTGGAGTCGAACGTGGTGTACGCGTACGTCTGGTTCGCTCGCCCCAGGGTTGTCTGCCTCTGTGCGGCAGTTGTGTACATATAGGGATGATTTTTCAGTTCAGTGCTCGTGCGTCACAGGATTCTTCAATATGTACAAGTTCAGTGCCAACAAGATTGACTAGGACGCTCATGAATTTAACATAAGACCATGTTGGTTTGATTAATATATGGATGACATGTGCGCGTGCTTGAATGTTCGTCCTTTTGAAAAAAAAGAGGTTTTCGACCATTCTGAAAATCGTTCAGAACAGCTGCAAAATGAAGAAATTATATGCCGTAGACTGAAAGATATATTAAAAACTATTTCTAATATACCATAGAATTCCAAAATCGATTCCAAAGGCAAAGAAGAAATGTGAAGAAATGAAAATGAAGAGGCTATCATTCGTCTGCTCTGTGTATTTAGTCATTTATATGACTATCACCGCGTGGAGAATGTGAAAACTAATTCTATTCATGCAAATGAGGATCTTATTTGCATAATCAATGAAAACAATATATAATTCGTTAGTTGCAAAGGTTAACATTATTTGGCGAAGGTATGAGATCATGGAACTCTAGTTTGCCTATATAATGCGCTTTTTTTCTGATGGCATGTCACTTCTATAGCTAAGGGTTCCATGCTTGACCTTCCCATGGACTTATAACATATAACCGCTAACTAAAGGTATGCAACTAACTGTAAACTCCCCGGCTGGACCTTTTATGGGGCTTGTTTGATATGTGCTCTCCTGGGTATTTGTATCTGATGTGTTATAATATTGTCCAGGATTTTCTTATAAATGACTGATACAAAGGATTACGAGTATATTGACACCTTTATTTTACTGCACACCGTATCAGAAATACACCATTGCCCTTGAACCACCATAACACAATTATTACGTTAAACATCCCGTATCTTGCGAATGATAAATTTGACTACCACAACCAAGACCGATAAAAGATGGAAAAGACTATTAGGGAAATAGGTTCAGTGCATAATGTTTAGTATATACTAATATGTAGCACATTGAATATTATTATTATAATAGTACTGTTTCAGGATGTACGTAGTGTTTTACATACATTTCACCACATGTGGTCCTATGTGCACAATATGCAATAAACATTATTACTATTAAAGGCTAATTAATTGCTAGAGTTATTCAGAATTATTAGTATAATTGGAATACAAGTCTTATGGTGCATTCTGCCAGACAATGCTGTAGTTGATATATTTCGTTCTATTTTTCTTCTGATTCCCATCCACTAGCTTGATAATATATTCAGTTTCTACTGTATTGCAATTGAATTCTGTTCTATGCCAACTAATTGTACGTCTACTTTATTTTATTCCATCTCACACTATATGTTTCTTTTAGGCAGTTACTGTAGTACATTATATGCAGATATTCTGAATTGACCAACAATAGACCATTTCAGCAAATAGCACAGTAGTCTAGTGTCAATAAGTAAGTCGTTATGATTACTGTAGCATTAGTCTTCTAGTAAGTTGCTGCTAATATAGCGCGATGGCTTAAAACTTCATATACCACAGGCTCACGTTAAGCCTTCATGTTCATGTAATAGCGAATATGGTCAAATTCAATTCAGTTCGCATCGAAAGGTAGGCGTGCCCTAACTCTGGTTAGGCTGCTCCCGAACTATGGTTGGCTGATGGTCGGGGAAGGTTCTGAATAATGTGTGATAGAGGCTTTAGTTCCTTGTTTGTTGCACGGGAACTTCCTTCAATGGCGGATTATGGGTGGAAACCCATTCGTCCAGAAACGCCACAGCGGCCACAGCGCCTTGCTACAAGAAGAAAACAAGAAATCGGAGATTTCAAACCTTAGGAATGTATTTATAAAGTTTTAAATTTCTAAATTCATTGGCACAACTAAAGAGATGGTCTGGCGTACTTTGTATGTTAGGTATTTGGTGATTATGGGTTCACCACACCACGAAGTGGTGTGGTGAAACCATATTGCTTTTTCTGATGTTTCTTCTCCTTCTCCTCCTTCTCCTCCTTCTCCTGCCATTTTTATGGCTTCACCACACCACGAAGTGGTGTGGTGAAACCATATTGCTTTTTCTGATGTTTCTCCTCCTTCTTCTTCTCCTCCTGCCATATCTTTAAATGGATTCAGCTTCTTCATTTTGGGGCCTAAGGACCTGAAATTTGGTATGGAGGTACAGTGGGCAAATACCCCCAGGCGTTTTTTAAATGTTGGTGATACAGGCTTTTAGAATGGTTTTATTTGAGCTTTTTGGCTGTGTTATAGCAAATGTATTACTGTGCTGTGTACCACGTTTGGGCATGAGTCATCACAATGGAATGCAGGGCATCAACCAATAGGCATGCAGCTTTCCTCTATTCTTCTTGCTGATTGGCTGTTGGGATTTAACTTGATTAACACCTGCACAGAGCTATTTTCATACTGACAGTATGTCTGTATTCAAGTGTTTTGGTAGGTATTTCAAGCTTTCCTGCTCCAGCATTGGAATGCGGGGCATGAAGGTTTTTTTTTTATTTTGAAAATCAACAGTTTGCATTATGCAATTAAAAATCCTAACCAATAATGTAGGGAATAGCTATCCAACTGTTGTTTTAGTTGTATGTTACTTCATATTATAGTTATATCAATGTAAATCATTGTTTTCCCTTGTGTTTCTCATTCTTTCCCTGCCATGTCGTAAAATGTGGTGAAGCCATCGCTGTATTTGCTCCTAAGCAAATATTGGCCTTTCTAGTTTAAATGGATTCAGCTTCTTCATTTTAGGGCCCAAGGTCCTGAAATTTGGTATGGAGGTACAGTGGGCAAATACCCCTAGGCGTTTTTTAAATTATTGTGATACAGGCTTTTAGAATGGTTTTATTTGAGTTTTTTGAGTGTTATAGCAAATGTATTACTGTGTTAGTCTGCCTTGTTTACCACGTTTGGGCATGAGTCATCACAATGGAATGCAGGGCATCAACCAATAGACATGCAGCTTTCCTCTATACTTCTTGCTGATTGGCTGTTGGGATTTAACTTGATTAACACCTGCACAGAAGCATTTCCATACTGACAGTATGTCTGTATTCAAGTTCTTTTGGCGACTTAGTCGCACTTTACAGTCCTCATTTTGTATATAAGTATTAGAAGAACGCCATACGTCCTTCTGCTGCC